CCCCCCCCCCCCCCAATCCATGCACAGGGCAGAGGTGGCTGCTACTGTACACTGGTCTCTGAGCCTTGCTGCAGCTGTGCCAGGAGCAGCACAATGCTATATGTGTCCCACCGCCGGGCAGGCAGGGGCATGGCTCAGGTAGATTCTGGGTTGCACTTGAATTCAAAAAGTGCTCTTCTGCTTAAAAAGGTTGGAGACCACTGCTCTATACCAGCTCTTCTTCCATGCACTGAAATTCTGCAGCTCTGCCTGCCTCCTTGGACCAGTGCTTGGTACTGGAGCACTTCAGAAAATGCTACTGTGGAGGTCCTGGACTTTAATCTGCTCCCAAACAGCCTAAATTTACCTTGTTCTGTACCTTCCAGTGTCATTGCGCCAGTATGAACCATAAACACTACAAGTTCCTTCCCAGCACTCCTAGCAAGTCAGTCAGTGTGTCATACCACGTCTTCTACCTTTGCACCAGGCAGGAAATCAGCCCTGCAGTTCTGCATGTCACACACCAAACTTTTTATAAAACCAGAAGGGACCATTCTGATCTTCTTTTTAGGGGTGTCTTTTGTGGCCTGTGCTGCATGTAGGGTCTGTCTCTCGCTCTGCTTTGGGAGGTCCCCTGAGCAATGACACCCTCTGGGTGCTGCAGCCATACAAAGCATGCTCAAGCTCTGGATGAAGTGGCAAATTAATTGCCAGGTTGTTGCAGGGTCCCATGAGTCAGGAAGCTGGTGGCCGCTATGGGTTCATTTAAACTGCAGTGGTTCCTTATCAAACTCATGCTTTTAGCATTTGTCATACTGAATAATCCTTTCCAAAACTTTTATAACTGGAACCTTCCTAATAAACATGTGACCCTGGGTGGATAGCAATACCCTTCCCCACAGCACGAGGGCAGGGAGGCAAATCCATTCCTGGCAGAAAGAGCAGGGTAAGCAGCTTCTTAGTGGTGGAAAGAGGTTCTGAAAGGTGAGAGAGAATATTCCCTCGCCCTGATGGCTTGTTTCCTGAGGAGAGTGATGCCACTCTTGAGAGATGTGTTGGGCAGGGTGAGGTCTACTAGCCTCCCTTTTGGGACCCAGAGGCCTTCAGGTCTGGGTTTTGACCTTTGTGTTTAGCTTAAGCTGCACACTTAGCTTGAATTGTGGTTGAGACATGCACCTGGTGAAAGGAGCAGATGGAAAAATACTGTACCTGACTTAAAACAAATCAGGAAGTTGGCTAACTGAATTGGATAAACATAGCCTGCGCAAAAAAGGAAGTCAGAGCAAAACCTACACTTGCTTGGACTTGCAGGGAGGCCGTTAGAAAGGCCAAAGCAACTACAGAGCTGAGACTGGCAGCACAAATTAAAGACAACAAAATGTCTTTTCTTTTTTTTTTTAGGTATGTAGGGAATAAAAGGAAGGCACATGGCAGCATAGGACCCCTACTAAACAAAAACGAGCAATTAGTAACAGACAAGGGGGACAAGGCTGAGCTATGCAATGTGTTTTTTGCTTCAGTGTTCTTGAACAAGGGTCATGATACGTCTCCTAATGGGTTCTTAGATGGGCATCAGAAGGACACCAGCCCGCCAACTGTCGGCACTGACTTGGTGCAGTCACTTGGATGGACTGGATGTGTTCAGGTCCGGATGAGCTGCATCCAAGAGTACTGAAGGAATTGGCCAGTGTCATAGCAGAACCACTGGCACGGCTGTTTGAGTGCTCATGGCGCTCGGGTCAGGTCCTGAAGGACTGGAAAAGGGGCAATGTGGTCCCTATTTTCAAGAAGGGGAGGAAGGAGGATCCCAGTAATTATAGGCCAGTCAGTCTCACCTCCATCCTTGGAAAGGTCTTTGAAAAGATTATGAAGGATCGTATCTGTGGGAGTCCAGCAGGAAAAAAACAATGCAGCAGGGAAACCAGCATGGATCTGTAGCAGGTAAATCATGCCTGACCAGTCTGGTTTTGTTTTATGACAGGGTCACAAAATGCTTAGATGCAGGAGTAGAGGTAGAAGTCATTTTCTTGGACTTCAGCAAGGCATTTAATATGGTATCTCATCCCATTCTCATAAATAAATTAAGAGGCTGTGACATAGATGTTTATATGGTCTGGTGGGTGGCAGATTGGCTTAGCGGTTGCACCCAGAGAGTGATAGTAGATGGGTCGGTATTGACCTGGAAGGATGTGGGTAGTGGGGTCCCACGGGATTCAGTCTTTGAACCTGTACTCTTCAATGTCTTCATCAGTGACTTGGATGTGGGTGTGAAGTGTACTCTGTCCAAGTTTGCAGACGATACTAAATTGCGGGGTGAAGTGCATGCCCCGGAGGGTAGGGAACAACTGCAGGAAGACCTGGACAGGTTAGATAAGTGGGCGGTACGCAATAGGATGTAGTACAACAAAGACAAGTGCAGAGTGCTGCACCTAGGGTGAAAAAATATCCATCGCACCTACTGGCTGGGGAATGACTCTTTCAGCAGCACAGCAGCGGAAACGGATCTCGGAGTTATAGTGGACTCCAAGATGAACATGAGTCGTCAGTGTGATGAACTCATCAGCAAAGATAACCGCACTTTATCATACATCAGCAGATGCATGACAAATAGATCCAAGGAGGTGATGCTTCCCCTCTATGCGGCATTGGTCAGACTGCAGTTGGAGTATTGCATCCAGTTTTGGGTGCTGTATTTCAAGAAGGATGTTGATAGACTCAAGAGGGTCCAGAGGAGGGCCACTCGTATGGTTAGGAGCTTACAGGACAAGCCCTATGAGGGGAGACTGAGGGACCTGGACCTCTTCAGCCTCCGCAAGAGAAGGCTGAGAGGTGATCTTGTGGCTGCCTACAAATTCATTAGGGGGATGCAGCAAGGGATTGGAGATGCTCTGTTCACCAGGGTGCCTCTTAGGGTAACAAGGAACAATGGTCACAAACTGACAGAGAGCGGATTTAGACTAGATATCAGGAAAAACTTCTTCACAGTAAGGGTGGCCATTTGGAATGGGCTTCCAAGGGAGGTCGTGCTAAGCTGAGCTCCACCCCAGCACAAAACCTCTTACGTTGAGGAGTGCAGCAATGCTTTTCATTTAGGCCTAGCAGGCTGTCTGGAGGCAAAGGCTGCCACTGGACATAGCAGAGTAGGCGAGCTGCTACCAGGACTGCTTTGGCACTGCTCACTCAAGCCTGACTCTCGTTGCATGGGGGCAGGGCTGCTCTCACTCCAGCTAAGTTAGTATTAGCTTGAGATAATCCTTTTGTGAAGACATAAACTAAGAAACCGCATCTTCTGGTGAGGCCAGTCCTTTGGAGAAGCTGCTGGGAGGGCAGTCCCCTAACTCAGCGTTTCTCAAGCAGCAGGACTTGAGGCTTGTGTAAGTGGGACTTCAACTCATTGCCCGCTTGAAAAAAAAATCAGTTGTTTGCACTTCGAATAGATGAATCAGCAGATATCTCGAACAGTGCAAAAGTGGGGTTTTGTTTTTATCATGGTGGGCATGAATGATGCGTGCCTCCGGAGGCTGGGGGCAAGGCGACTGCCCACAGGTGGCAAGCTCCCGCAGGCAGCTGCGGTGGCGTTGGCGGCACGGGACCACGTGCAGATGCCGCCGGCAGTGGCGAGCGGAAACCGCCTGCAGACGGCGGTGGTGGGTGGTGAGCATTGGTGGTGGCCAGTGGGGATTGGCAACTGCCCACAGACACTGCCGGTGGTGCTGGCATGGCCGGCAGCGTTGGTGGCACTTCTTTCAGGGGGTGCACAGCTAATCTCAAGGGGCGCACGTGCACCCCCTACCATTGGTGATGCATGTGCACCCCGAGTGTGGTGATGCACCCCTTGTGAAAAGGTGCCGTCGACACTGCCACCCCCTCCTCGCTGGTGGTGTCTGCCAGTGGTCTGCAACTGCTGCTGGCCACTGCCGATATGGCTGGCACCTTCTGTGGGTGGTCGCCAGCACTGTGGCCATCTGTGGGAGCTTGCCGTGCCCTGCCAGCCTCGGGCCACGCGGCCTTCATGCCCCCCCACGCCTCGCCAACGATGGTGGGGCCAGGGTGTTTTGACAAAATGGTCGGTGGGACCCAAGGTGCAAAAGGTCTTCCCTAAACGGAGCCCTTCTCCTGGGAGAAGCAGCGGCGCGGGAGGCAGGAGGCGCTGTTGCCCTGCCTGCACTCCCCGCTGACTTGCCATGGCCACCTTCCCGGAAAGAAAGGGCGGCCAGGTTGCAAGTAGCGCCCCGGCCCCATGCGCGGCGCGTCTGCCCGGGAGAGGCGCCGGGGCCCGGGGGTTCCCGCGCCGGGGGGGAGGGGGAGATGCGGG